CTAATTTTTACTAAATGTGATTAGACTAAACACGCTTATATTTCGCATTTGGAAGAGACTGAACGGCCCCAAATCTTTATTTCTATTTCTCAAGTACCTTAGTTAAAGGATCTCTTCTCTTTATTCATCTCTTTTAATCACTCCTTTTTCTGAATAAAGGCCTCATATTATAGATAGTATAGACTCATCTTAAAACCAATTTATATTATTTTGTAAAAATATAGGATTTGAAGAACTTAAGTGTACTCTATTTGCATATACTGAGGTGAATGAGGAATATGGTAAAATCAATAAATTATACCGTCATTATTTAATGGACTAAATCAGGATAGTCGTGTATGTATGAGCCTTATGGATTAACCACAGATTGCCTTAGTGCACCCTGATAAGATAAACTTTATAATCCAATATCTCTTATCGCAGTTTATATCAAGCATTGATTTTCTCTCTTAAATATATAATTTCCTCACAATACATAAACTTGATGTAATAACTATGGCCAACAAAACCAAGAAAATTTTGAATAAATAAAGTTAAAGTTAATTTCACTTTTTTTAATATTTTATATAAGTTATGTATATTTTTTTGTTTTTTGTAATTGGTCTTCTTGGTTCGTTTTTTGAATGCGGCTTGGACGAGACCAGGAAATCTCCAGTTCTTCTTTTTCTTGCCTGTAACAATCTTCATTCATTTGTTCCTTCATTATCGTTTGTTTAACACAATTTCTATAAATTTATTTTTTGCTTTAGATTTACTTGATTTAGAAAATGGCAAAGGCTGTAAACGCTAGCCAGTCTCTCCCTATCTTTAAAATTATAATGGTGGGATCGGGTGGAGTGGGAAAAAGCGCACTTACATTGCAGTTTATGTATGACGAAGTAAACTTTATTTCGCTTATAATCTCAGTTTGTCGAAGATTACGAGCCTACCAAAGCCGACTCCTACAGAAAGAAAACAATACTGGATGGCGAAGATGTACAGATTGATATTCTCGACACCGCAGGTTAATATATTAACATTTTCACTATCTAGTTGAATTTTTGGTAATTAATCGAAAATTCTGCCTTATAAATTACCATTTATTTTAGTTAAGCAATTATCTTTCTTTTGTAGTATTCCCATATTGTGCTAAAGTCCTTATATTGTCATTACCACATAGCAGTGAAATT